CATAAAACATACATTGCCTAAAATAAATTATATAATCATTATTAAAAAGCATTTAAAATGTGGCTTATGTTATATAATATAAAAATGTGGTTGCAGGTGAAAGAGGAGTCTGGCACCCACAAGCACCATGAGGCAAGTTGTGAACCAATTATGCCGGCAGAGCCAACCAGTAAAGTAAAGAATCCAGGAAAGAATGGAAGTTAGGGGGCTAGGTGAAATAACTTCCTCCACTCCCTTCCTCACTTGGGGGAGGGGCAGAATCCACAAGGTTGTAGACACAGCATCACCATCCGAGCTTTGTCCCTTTTGTACAAGCATCCTCACTTGCCATCTTGCAGTTTGGACCCCCGCCCCCCACAGACTCTCTGCTCTTCCTTCAGTTTGCGCAAGCAAATCCCTTGTTAACAAAATGAGAGCATTCTTTCCTCAAAAGACAGAAAAAGAATATAGAACTAGAGATAGAAAATACACGAAAGGAAGGACAGCATGATCAGACTTGAAAGGTTCTGTCATTATAGACAATCTCAAGAAAAGTAGTTTTAGCCTTCCTGTGGAGTTGATTTTCTAGTCTGTTCTACCTAGTGGGGCTGACATAAGCCCACACAAATTATACAACTCTGTTGGGACCTTGAGATATTTTTTTCACTCCTTGAGACTTAAGGAAAACTTTCAAGACAAGAAACAGGATACAGACATGCCGCCATCATCAATCCAACACGTGCTGGGAGAACACACAACTACAGATCACAACAAACCCTAAATGCTTTAAGCAAACAAACAAACACACCCACATGGACATCCCCAGATGGATGCAACACTGAACTGGATTTCTACACTGAGTATTTTCACCAATAAACCACAATCATCAGTAAAAAAAAAAAAACCAACCCTACACAATACTCTCAGAAGGGAAGAAGATCCCATCTAAGGCCTCAAGATCAGCAAGGATTTTGTAATCAAAGAAGCTAATAAGGAGGGGCAGTTGTCATTATGAATAGTGTTGATTATGTTCAGGAAGATGAAAGGCAACTCCAAACATGGCATTGTATAAACTTCTGTCCTGAGATCTCACACCAAGATATGAGAAAGAACTACACAATTGAATGAAAGAATTTTCTAAAGATATAGAAGACTATATCTATATGCAGACACTGCAGGAACACTGAACAGGCACCTTCTACTTTCTACCCAAAATACATATAACAGGAAATTCTGTCCTGTTGTTTCAAGCACAGGAAATATTGCACCTGGAATATCAGGTTTCATGTACCTTATGCCACCAGTGGTCCCACCTATATAAGAGAGACCATATGCTTCCTGAGAAATTTGGCAACATTCCTGACAACACCATTTTAGCTACCATGGATGCTGAGGCACTATACACAACATCCCTCACAAACATGGACTTCAAACTATCAAGATTATAACTGAGGACAACACAGCACAGTTTGCCACCATACAGGAAACCTACAGATCACCAGGCATATCTACCTGCTTCCAGCTTCCATCCAGAATATATGATCAAGTCCACAGTCTACATCCAGGTCTTATGTTATAACTGAATTTGTTTTGAGCCACTAGACAGAGATACTCAACTGATGGACTTAAACCAGGCATTCAGGAGGCTAAACTCCCTACCCAGTGAGAACAATAGAGTCAGACTGATTCCCAGAGAGGACCGATTGAAATACAGATCTACAAAAACAGAACCACAGAGGACCACCGGCTGTTATTTACAGCTCACAACACAAGCCGCTCCAGTGCAGCAAATAAGCTACAGTCCATCTTGGACAATGACACAGTACTTTTTTAGATACTTGGTAGCAGGCCCATAGTTGCATACTGTACATATTCAATGAATTCTGAAACAACTCCTCTTAAGCTACAAGAAACAACAGGACAATGACACTAACAGGGACCAGATCCTACAACGACCCCAGATGTCTACTTTGCTCCTACATTTACATCAGCAACACCCTCACCAGCCACAGTAACATCACAAAGTTAGAGCTTCCTTCACATGCTCTTCTTCTGCTGTGATACAGGCCATCTTCTGTCAGCAATGCCCACCTGGATTCTATATAAGACAAACAGACCAGACTTCACACAAAATAATTAATGGATACAAGTTTGACATCAGAACTCAAAGGAAGGATAAGACAACAGTACAGCATTTCAGCCTTCCAGAACATTCCATTATAGATCTCAAAGCAGGAGTTTGAATCAAAGAACCTTCACCAGCAGAACAAAGTGTGAGACAGCTGAACCTACGTACATCAAAAGGTTTCAGGCTATCTCAGAAGGCCTTCAGAAGACAGTGGGGCTTTGACCCATTATAACTGTATAATATGACCCATTATAACTGTATTTCCTAAGGAACCTTCATCTGTATAATTCCCCAGTTTCCCCTTTCCTTTCCCACTTTCCTTTCTTCCCTACTGCCACATTCCATGCACATAAATCCTGTATCACTTTAGCCACTCTGTGCATCTGATGAAGTGAGCTAGAGCTCAGTTCTCCAGTTGTAGCATATAAACTCCTATTGCTTTGATGTGATTTCTTTAATGCACATTTATTTATTTGTTTGTTTGTTTGTTTGTTTATTTTTCAAATTTAGACACCGCCCATCTCATGAGGAAATCGCATTATTCTTATATTCTTATACGGAATTAAATGTTGCTGACCTCGTTTGAAGAAGGTATTCTTATTCATAGAGTGATCGTGTATGGATTCTCCATTCAGTATAATTCTCCCTTTCATAAAATCACAAACATTATGATTCAATGGCAAGGTAGAATCTCATGAGAATATCAATGGTGGTCTGCTGACAAGTATGGCACTAATACCTGGATGTCCCATAAGAGATGGTTTAATATAAAGAGACCCTTCTGTTAGGGGTTAATCTGAGGGCAGAATATATTAGGTATTTCTCAGACATGTCTAGAGGTTTTAGTGTTGCATGTTTCCAGAAAGTGTG